AATATGTATTTTCTAATTCATAAGCTATAAGTACGTTTATCTAGCAGTGTCATCAACGCTATTACGTGAGATGAAATTTTCAACGATGAAAGTTTTCGATGAAATCGATTTCGATGATTTAGCGATGAAAGTTTCGATGATTTAGCAATGAAATCGAAAAATTTCATCGCTGAAAAATAAATATTTTTTAAGGACTTAATTCTTTATTTCTGTACAAAAGCTGGGTTTATTTACAATAATTTTTAGTCCAAAGGGGTTTTGTCCCTGAGGGACTATTTTTTTCGATTTGAAATTTTGCGTCGAATTACTTTCAATGTCCGTTTCACTTTTCAAACTGTTGCCACCAAATATTATCGCCCTGTATTATATTTGAAGAAATTAAATAATGAAGAATCTGCATAAATGTATGTATGTTTCTCGCACGGTGATAAAACAACGGTACCTAGAGCCATCCAATTTTGAATGATGTAATCCTACTGCGAATATGGGCATCTGGAAGCCCAAATTTGAAATTTGGAATTTGTTTTATTATCGATTTCATAATTCGTAAAACTTTAGCGAATTTTTGATTAACAAACTCAAGAATTTCAAATCGAGCAATGGCAACGTTGTACAGAAAAAAAACACTTTTATCTCCAGCGCGTGAGACAGTGTATCGGAAATTCTAAAGATGTGCTGTATTTAAAATTATTTTGCCATATTGCTTGACTGAATTTTATGGTTTAAGTGCGAGGAACATGATATTTAATAAAGAAAGGTAACACACAAAATGTTAAAAAACGCCCTTTGGACGTAATTTAAAATCTGAAACATTTCAGATTTTTTTTTTTTTTTTAGTCCAAAGGGATTTGAATCCCGAAGGACTATTAGTTTCGTTTTGGCATTTTGCGTCGGACGGATAAATGTCGGTTCACTTTTCAAACTGTTGCCATAAAATGTTAGAGTCCTGCATTATATTTGAAGAAATTAAATAATGAAAATCTGCGTAAATGTATGTATATTTCTCACATTGTCATAAAATAACGGTACATAGAGTCATCGAATTTTGAATAACGTAATCCTCCAACGAATATGAGCATGTGGAAGACCAAATTTGAAATTTGAAATTTGTTTTATGATCGATTTCCTATTTTTTAAAACTTTGACGAATTTTTGATTAACAAACTCAAGGATTTCAAAGCGAGCAATGGCAACGTTGTGCAGAAAAAACATTTTTATCTCCAGCGCGTGAGTCTCTGTATCGGAAATTCTAAAGATATGCTCGTTTTAAAACTATTTTGCGATATTGCTGTTGCACTGGATCTTATGGTTTTAAGTGCGAGGAACATGATATTTAATAAAGAAAGGTAACACACAAAATGTTAAAAAACGCCCCTTTGGACGTAATTTAAAATCTGAAACATTTCAGATTTTTTTTTTTTTTTTTTTTTTTAGTCCAAAGGGATTTGAATCCCGAAGGACTATTAGTTTCGTTTTGGCATTTTGCGTCGGACGGATAAATGTCGGTTCACTTTTCAAACTGTTGCCATAAAATGTTAGAGTCCTGCATTATATTTGAAGAAATTAAATAATGAAAATCTGCGTAAATGTATGTATATTTCTCGCATTGTCATAAAATAACGGTACATAGAGTCATCGAATTTTGAATAACGTAATCCTCCAACGAATATGAGCATGTGGAAGACCAAATTTGAAATTTGAAATTTGTTTTATGATCGATTTCCTATTTTTTAAAACTTTGACGAATTTTTGATTAACAAACTCAAGGATTTCAAAGCGAGCAATGGCAAACGTTGTGCAGAAAAAAACATTTTTATCTCCAGCGCGTGAGTCTCTGTATCGGAAATTCTAAAGATATGCTCGTTTTAAAACTATTTTGCGATATTGCTGTTGCACTGGATCTTATGGTTTTAAGTGCGAGGAACATGATATTTAATAAAGAAAGTAACATACAAAATGTTAAAAAACGCCCCTTTGGACGTAATTTAAAATCTGAAACATTTCAGATTTTTTTTTTTTTTTTTTTTTTTTTTTTTTTTAGTCCAAAGGGATTTGAATCCCGAAGGACTATTAGTTTCGTTTTGGCATTTTGCGTCGGACGGATAAATGTCGGTTCACTTTTCAAACTGTTGCCATAAAATGTTAGAGTCCTGCATTATATTTGAAGAAATTAAATAATGAAAATCTGCGTAAATGTATGTATATTTCTCACATTGTCATAAAATAACGGTACATAGAGTCATCGAATTTTGAATAACGTAATCCTCCAACGAATATGAGCATGTGGAAGACCAAATTTGAAATTTGAAATTTGTTTTATGATCGATTTCCTATTTTTTAAAACTTTGACGAATTTTTGATTAACAAACTCAAGGATTTCAAAGCGAGCAATGGCAAACGTTGTGCAGAAAAAAACATTTTTATCTCCAGCGCGTGAGTCTCTGTATCGGAAATTCTAAAGATATGCTCGTTTTTTAAAACTATTTTGCGATATTGCTGTTGCACTGGATCTTATGGTTTAAGTGCGAGGAACATGATATTTAATAAAGAAAGGTAACACACACAAAATGTTAAAAACGCCCCTTTGGACGTAATTTAAAATCTGAAACATTTCAGATTTTTTTTCTTTTCTTTTCTTTTCCCGTTATGTGAGTTCTTTGGTGTCAAGCAATTTAATTTAGATCTGAAGCATTTCCGAAGGTAAACTATAAAATGAAAAATAATAATAATAATAATAATTTAAAGTCTCAGTCAAATGCTTTAACTTGTTTAATATTATATAAGCCAGTGTCGCACTAATGCCAGTTTGTAAGAACTGAAATTCCTGAAAATAGCGGTAACATGTTTACTTCTTCTGTTTTGTGTACCTGCTTTTTTCCATCTTAACCACCGGCATTTTCGATCAGGGACAGTGCTTTACCGCGCGCGGTTTAAATTACAACGATCCATTGTTGGTTAGAAAAAGGAATCTATTTACAAAATTTACAACCACCGAATGTGCACCCTTCTGAGTTATATTCTCGTTACACTTCTTGAGCAAGTGATTTACAACCTGTTGCATGCAAATATTTCTAATTTTTTTTTTCTCTCCTAGCATGCATGTTTTATTTTCAATTGTTGCTATTGCTAAATTTAAGAGAACGTGCAAATTAAGAAAAACGTTTATGTGAAATTAGACAGCTCTTTTACTTCCAGTTTGTAACTTGTAATAAAATGGCTTTTAGTAAAATATCCGTACATTTTTTTAATCATAAGTTTCTGCATCTCATTTTCTTGTGTTGCGGGAAAGGTTAAGAATATTCGTATTATTAATTACCAACAAAACTTTTAAATTTATGAGAAATACTCATTTTTTATTTATTTAAATCTATATGTATGTGGTGAAATTTTTAAGTTTGACGTTAAGATATTGAGAACGATGAGTTGGATGCTGTTTTACAACGAAGACGCAATCATCGCCAGTTGATGTAATTCTCTGTATGTTTGGCATTGTACTTTTGAATAAACTTATTCGGTTAGACTGGCTCAAAAAGCGTACCCATTATTCATTTTTTACAAAGGTGAGATAATATAAAGAAGAGCCAAATTTAATGTTAATTGGACAGAGACAGCCTTGCAAAAAGCAAGAATATGTTAGGGATGTTAGATTAAGAATTGTAAAATTATCCCATAAAGTATAAAATCATCCTGTTGCAAACGGGTACTACAAAAGATGTAGTAAAATTCCTCCAAATTCACCAAATTACTCATAATGCATGCGATTTTTTTTTTGTGTGTGTGTTTGTGTGTGTGTGTGTATGCAGCATGCCTCAAGAGGACGTTGCCAAACTTAATATACTGGTCTGTTATACTATGACAAATAAGATTTACAATCTTGTATCCGAAAATGCAAAGGAAGGCGATACTAATATGACTTTTAAAGAGCATGGTTAAATCATAGAATATGTTCACAATGCTTTCCATTTGCCCAATGCATGGTTGGCAACGTTAACGCATAGATTCACGGACTCGTTCAAAATAAACAGATATGTCATACATACGTGCCGCTTCTTCCACGATCCTGGCGACGAGATCGATGTCCAATGTTACGGTCGTCTCGTATACCATAGATTTCATGTATCCCCGCAGGTAGAAATCCAAGAAAGTCAGGTAGAGAGATTGCGATGGCCATGTGACTGGTCCGCCTCTGCCAATCCAGGGATCAGGATATGTCCTGTCGAGGTTTTTCCACACACCATACGTGCTCGATCATACTGAAACCCAATGCTTCGGTGTGTAGCTACTGGAATGTCAACCATCAGATACGACAACACTTTTTCCACAAAACATCGCATAAAATTTCCATAAAGAGCTGAGTTAGTAAACCGATTCATCTTTCCCCTGCAACGTTCTCCCTTGAAATAATCACACTTCCCACTCTTCTATAAGCCTGCGAAATGCCCTCTAGCGGTCGCCGTTCGCATTTTCAGGCACAATTTTCTATATAAAGCTTGTTTGTTATGGTATGACAGACCAGCATGTTAAGTTTGTCAAAGACCTTTTAAGACACCCTGTATATGTATGGGGTTATAAGTTAAATGTATTGTTGTTTTGTGCTTCATTCTACAGAAACAAACACATTCACAGACAAGTCACATCATTCATGCTAACGTGTCAGTCACATCTGATACGCTACTGTGTGCTTCCACCTTGTAAAAATATTTTGCTCCTGAAGAAAAATAACCTATACCTTAAGGCTTTCAAAACGAATATAATTTTATAAAAACCTACGCCAACTATGGTTGCCTTTCTTTGACTATGGGTTTCTAATTAAAGAACTCTGTTCAAGCCAACAGCATCGCTTTTTTAATTAAATCAATTACTATTTAATTAATAAACAGTAAGACATAAATTTAGTATGTGTAAGATGAGTTTGTATAAACTGTTTTCAAATAAACTTATTTCTGATAAAATATTTTACTTAATTTGAAATATTTATCTGTAGACATTTTTTTTTGCAGATTAAATACACTGGATCCAGTATGAATACTGCCAGATCTTTTGGTCCCGCTGTGATACTAAATAGATGGGAAAATCATTGGGTGAGTAAAAATCTATTTCGCATCCGCTTTCTCATCTTTTTTAACTAAATTGCAATTCATTGCAAAGTCATTCCATTTTATTATAACATGCTTAAGGTAAAAAACTGCGCATGGGTTACTGAATGTATAGGCAAAAATTTCTACAATAGAATTAATATGTATTAAATTTGTTGCTCATGGTATAATTTCTAAATTTCAAGAATAATCATGATGAAAGTAAGAGTGCATTCTCTTCTTATTTAAAAATCTTGGACACCAGCGGTGATGATGTGATTTTGGGCAATATTATCCCATTTTAGAATGCAACAACGCAGCGTACAATATTGGCCTTTATCTTTCAGAAAGAACATGTCTACCAGTGGATTATTTACGTAACTGTGCTCACGCAAGTGCACAAGCAGCCACAAGCAGCTGGGTATCTCAACTAGGATTCAGACTTTAGTACATCAACGTAGAATTAATGTTCGTTATAATTATTATATAGAATGAGTGCAACTGTTTTGAAATATATATATGTTACGGTGAAACACCGAAATCTGGAGAATGTCGACTTTCACCGGTGAATGTCAACATTCACATAGTCTCTTGGTGTATGTCCGAAATATTTTCCAAATACTCTTATTTCTGACTTACACCGGTCAATGTCGACATTCACCATGTACTGATGGTGAATGTTGAACATATAACAATATTATATTTTCTTCTCCGTCATTCAGTCGCGAATAAACGCACTTGAGACTTGAAATAAGAACTTAAGAATACGAGAACCTAAAACACACAATACATTCAAAATGAGAAAGGAAAATAATAGAAGTTAAAAGCTTACTTAATTATACAGTACGTTCTAAATGAGAAAATAAAATAACAGTAATAAAAAACTTACTAAATTATGTCATTCAAATCTTATTTATTGCAACAACTTAAACTATTATGGCACTTTATGACCTCTCTTTTTGACTTTCACCAGAGCATATCTGTGATTGTCGACATACACCGGTGAGGGTCCGAATGTAGAAGAATGTAGTGAAATATTCGGTCTTTCACCGACGTATTTGGTGAATGTTGATATTCTCCGGTGAAAGTCGACATTCTCCAATTTCGGTCTTTCACGGTAACATATATATTTCAAAACAGTTGCACTCCACTTCTTTCCTAGACATTAGCCCTGTTTCATCTTATTGAAATTCCAGTGTGTGAGTATACCACCAAGCTCCTCTTTTGCTGTTCTTTCTTGTCAGGGCTTAAATTCAGCCGAATTCTGGCTTAGGCTCTTCTTAGGTTTTAGCAAAATCATAATTCCAAGCGGAAGCACCAAATAAAACGGGCTCCAGTATTTTGTTTCGTAATTGAATTGCAATACAAGCAGGAGATTTTGTTATTAATGAAACATTTTTAGCAATGAGTAAAATAGGTATTGATTTTAGCTGACGAATGTATGTCTCACTTTCGTTCAGTAATTAACATACGTGAGGAAACCTGAGTACTCGAGAAACTGAATTTATATTTCTTCAGAACCCTCACTCTGAATTGTTGTTTCTTCAAAAGTATCTAGTTATAGACAGTGTCCTAAATGAATTAAAAAGCCCTAAATGAATTAAAAACTTTAAAAAAATTTAAAACAAAATCTGAAATGTTTCAGATTTTAAATTACGTCCAAAGGGGCGTTTTTTAACATTTTGTGTGTTACCTTTCTTTATTAAATATCATGTTCCTCGCACTTAAACCATAAGATCCAGTGCAACAGCAATATCGCAAAATAGTTTTAAAACGAGCATATCTTTAGAATTTCCGATACAGAGACTCACGCGCTGGAGATAAAAATGTTTTTTTCTGCACAACGTTGCCATTGCTCGCTTTGTAATCCTTGAGTTTGTTAATCAAAAATTCGTCAAAGTTTTAAAAAATAGGAAATCGATCATAAAACAAATTTCAAATTTCAAATTTGGTCTTCCACATGCTCATATTCGTTGGAGGATTACGTTATTCAAAATTCGATGACTCTATGTACCGTTGTTTTATCACAATACGAGAAATATACATACATTTATGCAGATTTTTTCATTATTTAATTTCTTCAAATATAATGCAGGACTCTAACATTTTGTGGCAACAGTTTGAAAAGTGAACCGACATTTATGAGTCCGACGCAAAATGCCTAAACGAAACTAATAGTCCTTCGGGATTCAAATCCCTTTGGACTAATAAAGAAGCGCTTTATCTGACTATAAACAGTAGTCCTCAAAGTTTCTTTTTACCTTCGGTATACCATGCTTTATTATCTATTCACTTTCCTCTTGCTTTTTCATTTAATTTTTGGATCCATTATTTTAATATTATTTATTATTTTCTTAAAGGTCATTAATTTACAAACATTTTTATTTATCCCTTTACATTTTATTTAAAATATTATTATTATCAATTGTTTTATCTATTATTATTGCATTTATTCATTTCTCTTAGCTGTTTCATACCGCCTCTCGTAGGGTTCCGCCACTTCAAGTTTCAGAAATTAAGCTTTGGCTAATATTAATAACGTGATAAAATTATTTTATTAATATTTTATAAGCTCAGCTTAATTAATTCTGAAATATTTTTATGATATGAGGATTTAAGATATTTCTTTCGTGCTTGCTCTTGCAATGTGGTGATTAGCCCTTGAAATTAGAAGATGCGTAGTTCGAGTTCCAGCGAAGGTATAATTGATTTTTTATTTTGCGCTCCAAAATTTTAAAAACTCTATAACATGGCCTTTTAACGACTTCAAATTTTAAGTTTTTTCTTAAATACCTGAAAAGAAATCTGAAATTATTAAAGCTGCAAAATCTTTATCCAATAGTTTTTGAAACATACAACCAAAATCAGAGTTAAAATAATATATATATGTTAGATATGAAAGAAAATTATTAACAAAATTGCTAACTTAATAGACAATACACCTTTTAATTCCTAATTTTAATTTAAATACGTCCCTCTTCAAAACTCCGTATTGCGCCATTTGCGTCATTATTTTATCTGCAACGGTGTGAGCTTTTATCCAATCACCATTCAGAATTGAAACAAAGAAACCGAGCTTATGAATGCTCTAGCTGCGTTATATGCGTGATTTTTCTGTGCTTGCTCATGCCGGGGTAAACCATCTATCTCGCTTAGCTGTATCTTCTATTATTGAAAATGTGATATGCGTATATAGAATTAGGGGGTGCAGATTGCACCCATTGTGCTGAGTCATTTCTACAGAATATGCTTGTTTTTATTCCGAAATCAAGTATGTATAATCGGCATGCCATCTTTGTAACATCTGATTGCAATACGTAGTTAAGCATTGTAACACCATCCCCATCACCATCTCAACCGCGACTGAAAAATAATTGATGCCTTATCTAGTAAGTTTTCTCATATTGCCACCAAATTATTACTTCCGTTGCTTCCCTTGGATGGCCATCATTCAACTAGCCGTCAGAGATTTAAATATCAGTAAATCTTAAAGTTGTTTGCTAGTTTTCTTACGAAATGTGCAATGCACATTTGTCTAGCAACTGAGAATGGCTTTTTGGAGCATAAATATTTAAAAATCCGTACTCAGATAGCTCAAAAATCATTTTCTTATACCGAAATATGTAATATAGCTTTATAAACGTATTTTAATAATTATAATAAACAAATATTTATAGGTACAAAAATTTATAAAAGTCATCAGTCAGATATATTATATGAATTATATGCATGGTAGTTTTCATATTAATGCCCATATTTTAAGTTACTATCGCTAGGTAATTCCCAATAATTAATCAGATATGTTTGATGGGGCACATATTTGGAGAACATGTGAGCTGAAGCGGCAGTACGATAACTATTCAATGTTGCGTTCCACCTACGGTTATACATTTGGCCTACTGAAATTTGGACGCAGACCAGCGTAGAATGTGAGGCAGAACAACAGTTCCAAAACTTCAAAGAAGTAGCGGTGTCTGTTGAGGCGACAAAGCATATTAGTTGCGTGAGAGAGTAAAATCCAGTAACATTCCAAACCATGTGATGGATCGGTATGGGAATGCATTATGCAAATGCTATAATGTTTGTCAATGTAATATCGTGACCATCGAAACATTCCAGGAAAAATTGAAATTTATCTGAAAAGACAATATGCATTCATTTGTCCAATGCACTATTGCAGTTGCAAGTGCATTTGACGTAAACTATAATTAAAACAATAAATGCTTCGAAAATGTTCCGCTCCTCTGTATATTACGTCAGATGTTGTGTACTGATACAAGTTGAGAAATAGACCCTAATTTTTGCGCTTAGGTTTATAATGCAATCTGTCACTACTATGCTGATATATCTCTCCTCTCCTTTTTGTGTTGCCACGAAGTTGCTGCAATCATTCCCGTCGGTCAGTCCTTCCTTTATCCAGTGATTCCATACTCGCATCACGGTGGCTCGATTTTTTTTCCCACACAAGGACTAATTTCTCAGAGTAATAATCCTCAATCTCTATAACCACAGTTCGAGCACTTTGAGCAAGTGCTGAGTTTCGAACAAATTTATGAGTTTCACACTTCGAGCAAGTTTCTGAGTTTGACAAAGGAAGAATCCTTTGTCAAACTCAGAAACGTGCTCGAAAGATTGCTGTTTTTCCCAGCAAGGCATGTTAAATCTTCCCATAGGAAGGAAAGTGAAAAGACATGGAAGTCCTGAATTTAAGCTGTTGGCGCATGGGATTTGTACTATGCCTTGTAATGGAGTCACTTCCTTATTTTCTCGATGTTTAAGCCTAGTACAAATTTCAAGGCTATTGGCTGTTTCCTTCACGCTGCTATATTTTAAATAGCCAGGAATGGAATTCAGACAGAAGTTTCCAGTTTAATCTTTAGTAACTGATAAAATTCCCCCCGTATTTGGTGTTGCTTTTGCATATCAAGGAATTTTGTACGTGCAGAGTCATTTCTCATTCAAATCTCACTGAATTTTTTCATATAAAATCCAAATATATGAATAATATAAAATAAATAATAACAAGTGGAATATGTTCACAATAAATATGTTTCACAGTTTTCACGAATTTTGTTAATTATTATGTGCTAAAAATTAATTAGGTTATCATTCACGCATGGAATTTAAATTAGAAAGAAATATATGAATTACGAAAAGCTTTCATCAATGGAAATAAGGGAGGTCACATTTTGTTAATTATTATACATTAAAGCTGGAATAACTCAACTAAGCCCATTCAGGCTATGAATTATGAATCTTACCATTCAGTCTGATTATGTATTAAAAATGAATTAAGGTGTCATCTGCGTCGGAAGTTCATTTAGAAAGTAATGAACAAATGCGAAAATTTTCCACCAAATTGAAATACGAAGGTAGAATTTGATAATTTTGCTCATTATTTAATGAATATTTTGCTCATTATTATAATTAAATTTGATTTTTGCCTCATTATTATAATTATAATTTTGCTCAAATTATAATTTTGCATAATTTGAAATAATTTTGCTCATTATATTGGAATTTTTCAATAATTATAGAATTTTTTGCTCTCATTATTTATAATTATTAATTGCTCTAAATAATTTTTGTTATTATATGCTAAAAATGAATAAAAACATCATCTACTCAGAGAAGTTGATTTAGAAAGCGGTATATAAATTATGTAAGGTTTACACCAATGGACATACAGTCGCTATTTTAAAAATGTATTTAACAGAGAGTTTGGTTTAGATTCTGAATTTTTCGATAATGTTCTTCATTCCACTGCGCAGAAGTGAAATTCTAGTAAACTATTACTGCGATATTTCTCACCCTGAAATTCTTACAAAATTTCAATGGATTTTCTAAAGCACCTAAACGCAAGCAATGCATTTCTCGAGTGAATCTGTAATAGATTTCATGTGTTGAGACAGTAGTTACCATTTAAATTAGCTTTCATGCAAATATGCCAGCTTAGACCTAACTGAAATTTACGGCAGCTTGAGGGTTAATGAAATTTTGCCTTGTGGTATAAAATACAGTTTAAAATATGGTATAAAATACGTCTTATATATTTCGGCTCGACCCCCAAACCCACTTCCCAGCTTCAAGGACATCAAGGCAGTAGTGGCACGATTACTAGTCTCACTAAGAAATGGAGCCACAAGATAAAGGCATATCAAACTGAGCGATAGCCAGTTCCAAGTCGATGAAACTTTACTTAAATTACCAAACGACAAAATAAAATCATTTGTTTCAATTAATTTGTAAATACAAAAAAGTAAAACAAACTAAAAACGTCTTTGGTTGATTATAAGCCTATAATCCTATAATTTGTTTTTCAGGTATATTGGCTGGGCCCCATACTAGGTGGTGTCGTCGCTGGGCTTGTGTATGAGCATCTTTTCGCTGCTTCTCCACCTGATAAGGAAGACTTGGAACGGGCCACGATGCACGCTTTGCAAGCCATCAATGACAAAGACTCAGACAGAACGACTGCCATATGAGAACTTCCTCAGAAAAGAGAAAGTGACACTGTTAAGACGATGTAAGCCTCACAAAGGGTGCAATGACTCTAAATGACAAAGATGTTATTCAGAAAATTTTTTCAGTGAACGTTATAACTTTTACTTTTAAATTATGCTGTTTCCCTTGTATGTAAATTATCATTGTGCTTACACGTGCAGGGTGTCTCATACCTCTAGCATCATCGATCTACGCTCAGCAGGTTTCAGCACAATGGGTTCTCCAAAACTTACATCACACTCATACTCAGAATGTGACAGGATGATGGCTACACAGAAACATCACTTTTACCTACATTTCTTTAAAAAGTTTGATTTACTCCGAAAACGTTCTTAATATGTAGAACTTGGAAGAATCACCATATATATCTATAGACTGAACTACATGTATGCTAGTTATCAAAGTGGCAAAACCGATTATATCTGTATTTTGTAAGCAAAGAAATCATTTTAAAGGAATTTCATCAAACAAAGGCCACCTTGGACCTATATGATATACATACATAAAAAAACACTTCATTGAATTTCAAACTTTAATAGGCTTCCAAGTTTATAATTGAGAAAACTGATTGATGCATAAAGAAGAAATGTCAAATATCCCAGATTTAAAGAAACAGTTAATCAGTAATTATTTATCTTATATTAATTCAGTTTAAAGGTAAAAGTAAGCTTTTATGGTGGTTTTGAACCTTATTAAAAATATGCTTAATAACCAAATGCATTTTAGAAATTTCCTTAGTAATGTTATGAAGATTTATTTAACTTACAAAATAGTGTTCATGAACGCTATTTGTTAAGCAGTTTAAAATATATATATATATATACAAATCATACAATCATACAAAGAACTTAAATGAATTTCACCTTCAATACAAGTTTGAAAATTCCTTGGAATGTTTTTTATTAAATAAATAAAGGGAAACCTGATATCTTTTCAAGATAAAAAAAAATTCACTTTCTGTCGATGTAAAGCCGAAACTACGGTCAATTACTCAAGAAAACAATCTGAGTTTAAAATGTATTATTAGTCACAAATATACCAAAGAAATTATACAAGAATAAGGACTGATGCGATTGGAATACCTCCATAACAGCACCCTGTAAGAAATAGTGCCAGCACACTTGTCCAAATCGGCCACAATTCGAAGACATAGACGCTGTCATAACATAGGCATACAAACTGAGTTCTCCGGCATAAAGGTTCGCGCAGCCTTATAAAAGTTTCTGTCTTTTTGTATTGAGGATGAGCTTCAAAACGTATGGCACCTTTATGAAGCCGTTCCGTGTGATTTATTTAATACGCATGAACACTGTCGTTAATTTGCTGTATTTCATTGAATTTTATCCTGTTTTCAGTTCTTTTATCCAAGCAATTTTGCTGACAAGATAAAACTAAAATAATAGTACGAAAGACTATTAAGCCAAAAATTTTAAAACTGCATTCGCACATAAGCATTTAATTCACTTATTGACGTAATCATCAGTTAAATAGCTACAAGGTATAGTTTAATAATATACTTTAATCAAAGGCAACATGTCAAATACTAATAGGATAAGTATTATATTCCACAAAGTTTTAAATTAGAACATAGATTTGACCGTTTATTAGCCAAACTCAGTCACATTTAAAATTTTAATAATCTTTTTTTCTTGTATTTACTATTTACTAGGTAATGAAAAGAAAAATAAATAAATATTATATTGTGTATAATTTATAATGTAATCCCATTTTGAAATTCCCCGTTATCTAATTCATGCACATGTTTTTCTCTACTTCTATGCTAAAATAAATAAAACTGAGCTCTAACATATTACAAAACTTTTTAAGTAATTGTATTCTGAGTTTCATTTGAATATTTTCTTTGATCATCAAGAAACTTAGACGACATCAGAAATGACAGGAAACGTATTATGATGACCATAACATACTGATTTTCGCGAAACAGTTATTTTATAATCAGTGTTCACTTCCACGCCTATCGAATTAATTTTTACCTTTTTGTTGCCCTGCGTTGGCAACCCGCTTTTGAGTTTCGTCGTTCGTAGAATTCGGTCGCTAAAAGCGTAGCTGGCCTGTAACGGTTTAATTCTTATTTTAAAGCTCATCAGTACTCCGGAATTATTACTAAATGTTTACGTGTGAATGTTATATTATTGAATGCATTCAGTTTGATTTAAATAGACCAAGAGTCGTTGAATTTATTAAGTATATTTAAAGTCGAAACTGCGTCATCCATGTTGGCGCCATTCTAATACGAGGAACGTAAACAATCAGTTCGCCTCCAATATTAATTAAAAGCAATGAATTATCCCATAAAATGCAAAACGTAATAATTTAAAATAACTTTTTATAAATGTTCGTCGTTTGGAATATTAGCAAGTAAATAATTAACATTATCTGTAGTTCAAAGCATGTGAAATAAATTGTGCATTTGATAATTATGAGACTTTTATTATTATGAGGAGAATATTCTACAGTTGGGACCAGCTAAAAATTTATTAAAGTTATCAAAAGATAATGTTACACCTGTCAATAATTTTTCTTCCAGAATGTGTTTATTTTATAATGTTTCTTCCGACTTATTTAGAGACATTAAAGATCTTTGATCATCAAGATTATATACGTGCTATTTTATCTTTGGAAATGTTAGCGACAATAAATAGAAGATTGGCACCGGCTGAAAGTTTTTAATGACAGTTTTAAGATGCATATCTAATTATTCGTTTCCGAAAGCTACAAATAATAATCCTTGATATTACCAGCTTTTTTTGTGTGTACAATAACTATATTTATCCTTGCACTTGCCCCTCTTCTAGATCATCTGACTAGATCACTGCATCATCTGACTATCGACTTCCCTTCCCCTGAGGACTTAATCTACAGGTGTTATTAGGGAACATTGTCAACAGGACTCACCAAGCTGAAATGAATCAAGATGTGGACTAACTATTCTGTTGAAAAAAAAAATATGAATTATATATAAATCTAAAAATAGTGAAGAAGGAAATTTTTTAACCCGCCAGCTTCACAGATTTCTGAACTGATACTTATCTTTTGGAATTAGAAATATTACATCACCATTCTTTACCCGATTTCAGATACGTTACAGCTATTTTTGCACTGCTCTGCTAATAATACAACTCCTTGTAATGGAATGAATGGCATCAATCTCTGAAATTTACCCAAATTTTAGAACTCCAGATCCCTACCGAGCGTATAAATGACAATACATTTGTACTCGTAGTTTGGCGGAAAATTAAACAAAAACGTTTGCTAAAAATACTTTCCTCATTCGATATGGATAACATTCCCAGTAACGTGATAATCAGTAAGAATAATTGCAGTATTTGATTACTGCAAATCACACGAGGGTTATCTACCTAAAAAAATAATTGCTGCTAACAAAATAAATAGCAGTTCCAGGCAGTTCTATTAACTATTACTAGGATAGTAACTTTACAACACCCTAAAATTCAGGATTATTTTCTCGAATTTCGGAATTTTCCGTATTAGTTTCTAGTTTTAATTATTATTTTTAGATTAATTTTATGTTTAAATAATTCTTATGCTATTTTCTGTTAGAAATTTCTCAAAAATATGCTTCAGAGTAATCCGATTGAAAATTCAAGCCAGAGTATTGCACTTATTGGAACCTTAGTTTACCCTAAGTTTTACTGGGCTTTCGGGAAATTTCTGTTTTCCGAAAGTTGCCCTCTGTTGCCTGTGAATATTGGAAAATAATTTAGATGCTAAGCAACCCTTTTCTGAAGACGTGTTACGTAATGAAAAAAAATCTGCGTCAGCTCAGTATTATGTGCAAAAACACCTGCCATGTGTTGAATACATTTCCAGAATTTAATTGATTCACAAATAAAAAATTATATTTGAAAAATCTGTAATATAATTTTTATTTTGTTACGTGTTATTAATCTGTATTTTTGCTTTGCTTTTAGTAGACTTACCTCTTCCCAAAATATTTATATGAAACCTAGACCTCGAAGCTTTCCTCAGACTCGTCAGTATAAATCCCAGGTTGCGAATGGTTCACGGATTTTCACTGCTTACTCCAAGCAACTTTGCCTTTCTTTTCTGAGCTAAAATTACTGCCCATATTCAAACTCATCTCACAACTAACATTTAGTTTCTCAGTACAAAGCATTATTTACAGTTTGTGTTACGACTGTTTACCAAAATATTACGAAAAAGAGTAAACTATTGTATTTTCTATTATTTGTATAAATGGTGAATCTAAATTCCAAAACCCTTTCTATTGGCAGCATACATCAATAAGCTGAAGTAAATGCTTTTTCACTTTAATTAAAAATCTCTGCAAGAGAAAAGTTGTTACAAATTTATCCTCATTTCGAGAAATAAATAAAATCAAACAGAATTAATTGTTTTGGTATCATGACAGGCGAAAAATTCTGGTTTTTCCAATTACTCTTATAGTGAAAAATAGTGTTTATTTGAATGTAACCTTTAAGTTTATGTGTTTAATCACAACAGTATTCATGACATAATAATGATTAAGAAATTAACGCATTTCTTCTGCTTGTGTACATTTATAATCATCCTGAAAAGCAGAACTGTAATATCTGCATATGTATAATTTTGTAAATAAATGAACATGAATGATTAATAAAGATGATGATTTTTAAAGAAACTTTTTGTCTGATTTATTAGCCCAAAGGGACTATTTGCCCAGAATGGCTATTAATTTCGTTTTGCGTTGGTTCACTATAAACGGCGTTTCACTTGCCAAATTGTTGCCACCAAATATTAGAGCCCTACATTATATTTAAAAAAAATTAAATTATAAAGAATCTGCATGAGTATATGTATGTTTTTCGCACTATGAAACGACAACGATACCTAGAGACCTCAAATTTTGAATATCGAGTATGGGCATCTGGAAGCCCAAATTTGGAATTTGTTTTGTTACCTATTTCATATTTTGTAAAACTTTAACGAATTTTTGATTAAGAAACTCAACAATTTCAAAGCGAGCAATGGCAACATTATACAAAAAAATCTCCAGTGGGCGAAACTGTGTATTGGGAAATTCTAAAGACAGGCTCTTTTTAAATGTTTTGTGATATCGCTGTTGAATTCAATTTTATAGTTTAAGTGCGAAGAACGTGATATTTAATATATAAATATAACGCAAAAAAAAGTTTTTAAAAACGCCCCGTAATATAAAAACTGAAAGCATTCATATTTTTTTAATAAAAACTATTTTCATTTTGATACATCTGCTGTGCGGTAACCAAAAGCTGGGTGGCTTATACTAATTCTATCTGCATTGTTGCGTCGAAATATGAAAAATTCAAAGTTTTTTTTTTTTTTTTGTGCAAGACGCAGTATGTGGATCGGACAGTAACCTTGTAACAATTATTTTTAATTTTTACCAACAGTAAGTTAATTTAAACTGTTTCCATTTTTTCTTTGCTTGATGTCTCTTGTATCCCATCAAACCAGAAGGTTGTGCAAATTAAAAGCACGCAGAAGCTTTTAAAGCTAGATAGAGTAGCTAATATTCGTCGGAGTGAACGCCCGTGTGATGGAGAATGTGTGTGATTATGGCAAAGCCTCGAGGGCTATCTGCCTAAGGGGAGGGATGCCTTCGTGGAGGACTTTCTAAAGGAAACTGGCTCGTATACACGTTACACATGGGGAAAAACGCCCATGCAGCCAGCCCGTTCGCGGGATTCGAACCTCGGACCGAACTACCAGTGTTCAGCGACTTTACCGCTCGGCCGCTGGTGGGCCCGTGTGATGGAGAAAGTTAACGCCAAAGTTTGTATTGGTTTGGGGTTGTGTTATTCACGTTTGCTGGGCGAGTTCGTAAGTGAGTTTATGTGCTTAGTTGGGAGGAAACGACTAAGTGTTGTATTTCACTGAATTTTTTTCTTGTAACCTTTAATCGTCGATAAATCAATCGACTTCTTTTATGTTGCACGCTTTTTAATTTTAATTGTAATTAGCTAAATAAGGTATTATTTAGTTTTATTAAGTCTGCTTCTAATAGTTCTGGTAATAACTCGTCAGCATGAAAGAAATAACTCCATGTGAAGTACCGTCAGGTAGACAAACCTGAAAAAACATTTAGATAGCAGAGTTAATAATAACCTCAGTTCGGACACAGAAACTGAGAAAAAATGCGTAGCAAATTTACTGCTACTTTTAATTTTAATTGTAATTAGCTAAATAACGTATTATTTAGTTTTATTAAGTCTGCTTCTAATAGTTCTGGTAATAACTCGTCAGCATGAAAGAAATAACTCCATGTGAAGTACCGTCAGGTAGACAAACCTGAAAAAACATTTAGATAGCAGAGTTAATAATAACCTTAGTTCGGACACAGAAACTGAGAAAAAATGCGTAGCAAATTTACTGCTAAACTTTACACCTAACTATTGGTATTTGACGATGTCAATATGATGATTATGTTCACTAGAATGTCAGATACTATTCGCCCAAAACTCTTGAATTCTTTCAAGAATTTTTTAATTCAATTTTTGAAATTACGAGAAATGAAAGAATTTATAATTTCAAAATTCTTGAATTCTTTCAAAATTCTTTCAAAATTCCAAGAAATTTCTCAAGTATTCGCTGTGATGGTGGATTGGCACGAAACACGCAAGAAACAGTTACGGAAACCACCATAAGGTACCTGGATTTTGCAGTTCGGGAAGACATAAATATGTAAAGTGGATCTTTTAATCACCGTATAGACAAAATCAGCGGTACATACATAGCGAGAGGGCAACTCTATTAAGTTACTCCATAAGTTAATACGTAGATAGGATGAGAATTGAAAAAGAAAAGCTTAAGAGGAAAAAAAAATTATTACTTCCAAGATATTTTCGAAATGCACTGATATCCAAACTTATCTTCACATGTATAAAATCAGGGGTTTCTCAAAAACTGTGAATTAAAGTTTTATGAATTTGTGTAGAATGTTACATAGCGTCATGACACACATATATAAGAAAGTTGCCTGTGATATAAAACTGTAGCGTGAAACAATAAAAATGGTGATAATATGTTACGAGGAAAGTTTAGGGGGAAAATAACTCAGAAGAAA